GGTCTTCACTTAAAACTGACACAGCTGTTTTGGTTAAGGGGGTGATTGCTTTTTACTGATATAGCTATGCCAGTACAAGCTCTAGTGTGGACACACTGATACCAACATATAGGGGCTTTTCCCAGCATAGCTTACGTCCCTTGGGGAACAGGTATGAGCAGTGCCAGCAGAAGCACTTTATGCCTGTCTAAACTGCATCTCCACTGGGAGGGTTTCCTGGCGTAGCTATGCCAGCAAAAGTTTTCTAGTGTAGACAAAACCAAAGAGAGCAGCAAATAAATATTTCAGTAATCCGCAGTTGTGGAATATGCCTCGCAACTACAAAATGGAGTGCATTTCAACCTCGTGTTGGCATAAAGCAATACGCTTCCTAGCATTTCTTGCCACCTTCTGTCCTAATTCGTTGTGTGGTGCTACTCTACACTGGGAAACAGCTGCCATATTCCCCCCAGAGCTGGCTGCATTTCAGTGTTGAACAATTTCTGTTTAAGTGCTTTGACAGCTCTTGTGATGAAAGGCATTACAGAAAAACATGAGACTTGTACTGTTAATGCATCATCCGATCACATAATGTCGATAAATACACAGACAAGCTGTTTAGAAGGGGCCAGTGCCATATCTTAGCAAGAACATCCGTCTCCTGGCAAGAAAAAAATCCAGCCTTGTTTAGCAAGATATAACTGAAGGGTCACACGTTTCGTCGTTTCAGTAGGCTGAACGCATTGCACGCATCAAGGGCTTCTTGTCCTCTTTAACACCCCCCCTCCCCCCAGCAGCTTTCTCACTTTCACATCCTCCTGTGTTTCAGGAACTCCCTGCAACCCTTCTGTTGCCTTCCTCATTCCTGGGACTCTGGGTGCCCCTTTTCCCCACTGCCAAGGGCTGTGCGTTTCCCCTGCCCCTCATTCCTCACTCCGCCCCATGGCAGGGGCTTCATGTGTCTCCCATTCCCCTTGCAACTGCTCCTGTTTTAACCTACCTATGTCTAGAGCAGGGGTGGGCAAACTTTTTCTCCTGAGGGCCACATCGGGTTTCCAAAATTGTATGGAGGGCCAGTTTGGGGAGGCTGTGCCTCCCCAAACAGCCAGGCGTGGCCCAGCCCCCAACCCCTATCCAACCCCCCCCTGCTTCTCACTCCCTGATGGCCCCCCGAGGACTTCTGCCCCATCCACCACCACCCCCTGCTCCCTGTCCCCTGACCACCCTCTGCCACCCCATCCAACCCCTCCTCTCATTCCTGACTGCTCCCTGGGACCGCTGCCCCATCCAACCACCCATTCGCCCTGTCCCCTGAAGGCCCCCAAAACCCCTGCCCCCCACCCCCCCATCCAACCCCCCTCTCCTTCCTGACCACGCCCCCGGGAGCCCCGTTCCCATTCAATCCCCCTGTTCCCCACCCTCTGACCGCCCAACCCCATCCACACCCCGCCCCCTGACTACCCCCTCGAACTCCTCTGCCCTCTATCCAACCCTCCCTGCCCCTTACTGTGCTGCCTGGAGCACCGGTGGCTGGAGCCAGCCAGGCCACTGCGCAGCACAGAGCACCGGGTCAGACCAGGCTCTGCAGCTGCACTGCCCAGCAAGAGCTCGCAGCCCTGCCGCCCAGAGCATTGTACCAGTGGCACAGTAAGCTGAGGCGGTGGGGGAGGGGCCGGGGGCTAGCCTCCCGGGCCAGGAGCTCAGGGACCGGGCAGAAGGGTCCCGCTGGCCGGATGTGGCCCATGGGCCTTAGTTTGCCCACCTCTGGTCTAGTGGGTCGCACATTTCATTGCTTCTGTTGGCCAAGCTTGAATCCCCCCGTGCATGCCCCAGCCGGTGCACACACTTTGCAATTTAAGTTGTTTCTTTTCTGTCTGTCTCAGAGATGTCAGGGGGTCCCCATTTCAAGTGCCACTGGGAGGATGGGCAGAGCCCAGATGGGGGTGTTGCCATGCTGGAGGGTGTTAATAACTCCCATCAAAGAGGTCTTTGATTTATAGATAATTCCAGCTGATGGGTGTGCTAACCAGATGCCATAGGGCTAGGTGCGTCCCCTGCTTCCCCATTCTGGTTTTACAGTTTTCCCCAAAATCAATAGAATTCTGCTCACTGATGCCCGGAACCTTCCTGGACATTTTGAAATTGATCGGATGCGGCATTCAAAAGTTACCGTCAGAGAAATGCCCTCACATGGAGCACAGGCCTTGCTTCACTAAGGCCTGGTCTACACTTAAAAATTAGGTCCACCTAGCGACGTCCCTCGGGGCTGTGAAAATGTTTTGCTCTGAGCACTGTAGTTAGGTCGATCGAACCCTCAGTGAAGACAGTCAGCAATTCTTCCATCGACCTGGATACCGCCCCTCGGAGAGGTGGATGAGCTACATTGATGGAGGGAACTGGCGATGTAGGAAGCGTCTACACTACGGCGGTATGGGCGCAGGACCGTAGCTGTGCCACCAGCCGCGATAGCGAAGCGGGTTTGCGGGTATTGTTTTGTCTCGCGCTGGTCTGAGCAGCGAAGCCCGTGGGTTTTGGTAAAGTATTAAGGAAGGGAAATCAGTGGTGTCTCAGCGTGGAACACGAGAGCTGTCCATCATCCCAGCTTTTCCATGTGTTCCGTTAGCATTGCCTTGCACAGGCTACAATCTACAGGTGCCTTCCCAGCTGTGCCACGTGCTAGCCAGAGTGCCACTTGGATTCTCCGAGGCAGGGCACACAGCAGCCACTTCTAAGGCCAGAAAATCTGGCCGCATGTAAAGTGAAATTAATATTTTACTACCTGTTGTTACCGAATGGGAGCCCTGAGGTGCTGAGAAGAAGTTAATGATTAAATGCAACACTGTGTGAGCTGAATGTACAGTTAACACTGCTCCTGACAAGTCAGTTCACTGACTTCAGCAGAGCTACTTCTGATTTACAGAGATCAGAATCAGGCTGCTTTGATATATATGATCGTAGCCAGCAGAGATGGAAAGGTGCTGCTAGGTCACCGAGTCAATGCACTGCAAAGGCTGGATGTCGTCCCGTGGTGGGGGATGAACTGGATATTAGACTAGGTGGTAGCAAGAGGGAGTTCCCACAGCTACAGCTGGAACAGGGAAGGTTTATGCACAAAGAAATGAACAGCATGCCCTGAGTTCCCTGTGCTGCTAGTAAAGATATTTGGATTTTGGCAAACATTTTCCGCCCCTCCCAGGCCAACCTCTTCTGCTGCCAGACACCAAAGCAGCCTGATTCTGATCCAGTAAATCAGGAGTAGCTTGGCTGAAGTCACTGAACTTAAGCTGGTGTAAACCTGGTGCAGCTGAGATCAGAATCAGGCCCAGGAGCTATTCCTCCAACTATTCCTCCAGTCTCTCTTTCTCCCAGCCTATGCTATATACCTCTTCCATGCCACCCCCTATGCTCTAAACTGCCTCCACCTCATAGGCCACTAGTGACCCCTCTGGCCTTCTTCAAGCCACTTCCTTTACCTCCCTCCTTAAAAATCATGCTTTGCTCATATCCCACTGCCCATGCTGATCCCCTCTGCCCCCCAGTACTATGCGCTCCCAAACTCACACTGTAATTCGTTGCATTACACCTGTCTAAGGCCCTGATCCTGCTCTGAACTCTGGGCAAGCAGATCCATGCACTCTGTGTAGAGCCCCATTAATATTAATGGGGCTCCATGTCATTCTGGGGTGTACGAACAGGAGTGTCGTACGTAAGACCCCAGAGGTAATTGTTCCCCTCTACTCGGCATTGGGGAGGCCTCAGCTGGAGTCCTGTGTCCAGTTTTGGATGCTGCACTTTATGAAAGAGGTGGACAAATTGGAGAGAGTCCAGAGGAGAGCAACAAGAATAAGGATTTAGAAAACATGAGCTGTGGGGAAAGGTTGAAAGAATGGTGTATGTTTAGTTTAGAGAAGAGAAGGCGGGGAGGGGATCTGATAACAGTCTTAAAAAATGTAAAAGGTTTTATAAAGAGGGTGGTGATCAATTGTTCTCCATGTCCACTGAGCATAGGATAAGAAGTAATTGGATTAATTTGCAGCAGGGGAGATTTAGGTTACATATTAGGAAAAACCTTCTAACTCTAAGGGTAGTTAAGCACTGGATCAGGCTTCCAAGGGAGGTTGTGGAATCCCCATCACTGGAGGTTTTTAAGAACAGGTTAGACAAACACCTGTCAGGGATGGTCTAGGTTTACTTGGTCCTGCCTCAGAACAAAGGTCTGAACTTGGTGACTTCTTTAGGTCCCTTCCAGTCCTAAATTTCTCTGATTCTTTGGGCACAAGGGTCTTCGCAGTTGAGCTCCAAATGAGAGGCTTGTATTGCAATCAGTCAGTAGGGGGTATGCACCCATGACTTAGGGCAGAATATGGTTCTTTTGACTGTGAACTCTGTGGGTGCAAAGTCTTCCTCTTGGAGAAGAGCCTGAACCAAAACCCCAGACCCAAACTTTGTAGCTGTGGACCTGTCTTTATTTCCTGTGTGTCATATTCCTCTGATTATGGTCTCATCATCTGTTTCTCTGGAAGCAATTGTGACACCGTAATACAGTGCTGGGCTCTGCTGGATCACATAACAGGAGGAGGGGAGTGGCGAAATCCTCCCTAACCATGACTCACTGGTGATGCAAAAGCATACATGCAAATTGATTCACACTCAAATGGCCCATGTTTGAAAGTTTCCCCAAGTTTAAGTGTTCTTCTTTAAACTAAACAACCAAGATTGAATCATCAGGTACCATGACATCAGTTAGCGGTTTTTCTGTCATGAATACCACTGCTTCCTGTTGTTTCCCAATTCGACACTGTCCATGTGTGTGTGTATATACACACATAGCTAGACAGAGCCACCTTAGAGAACCTTTCAAATGCAAAACAAGAGAAACCTACCAGTGCTGCTTCCTGTCTGGGTGCTTTCTGAAATGCTCGTCTCTTTGCAGCAGTAGTGAAGCCGAGGAGCAGATCTGGAGCGCAGTGTGTTTAATTTATGAGCCACTCCATGCTAAAAGGATGAAAACATGGGACTTAAGTTATCCTGCCTGAAAGGTAAGAATGCACTTCAGCCCTTGCATGTCTGTGTGGCCTGCAGCATGCTCACCACTTGCTGTGTTGGGCAGAGTCAGAATGCAATGTAATGTTCTTGCTTCGTCAAGGGATTTTTTCCATTGGGCTAGAAAAATCTCCAGCAACCTCAAAATATTTAGCAGGGTGTAATTTACCTGGGAGCCACTATGGCTCAGAATCCACAATTGGGAATGTTCTGGGGACATCGCCTTTAAGCTGGATAGGACTGTTGGTAGCAATGTACAATTTATAGCCATGCTGAGCAATCTATTGCCCCTCTCGGGGTTCCACAACCTCCTCCTTCTCCAAGGCAGAACTCCCATGACACAGGATCCAATCCTCCATCTTTTCCATCTCTCCCTTCAGAGAGGAGGTGCAGTCTTGTGCTTAAGGCACTGAACTGAGAGACAGGAGATGTGGGTTCTTTCCAGCTCTGCTGCCGACTCAGCCAAGTTAACCTGTGCCTCGGTTTCCCATCTGTAAAATGGGAATAGTGATCCTACTCTAGCCTATTTAGACTGTGAGTTCTTCAAGGCAAGGCCTGTCTCTTAATAAGCTTTAGTACAGCACCTAGCACAATGAGACGCCAATCTCAGCTGGAGCTTCCAGGTGCTATTGAAAACATTAATAATATCCATCAGCTCATGTCATCTTCCAAAGGGGGCAGGGCATTTCTGTAGAGATAACAGGCCTTATGAAGAACAAGAAAACACTCTGCTAGTCTCTTTGCCCCCAAGAAGATTAAATGCTGGGTACAGCTACATGCTGGCAAACATGGTCTCCATAATTCAGGGTCAGTTACAGCCATTCCACACAAATAATCTGTGTGTGTATCTGATGTGTAATTGCCCCATGCCTCAGTTTCCTGCCTAGCAAAATTGTATCCTAGCTTAATAGCCCCAAGCCTGCCTCCTTCACACAGAGCCAGGCCACTCCTGGCTGCAAACTGAGCAGCAAGGGAGTTTACACAGAGCTGCCTCGGAGCCACTTCCCTCCAGAGCTGTATCTGCCTCTTTCTGTGGTGAGCCGTGTTTATTGTACTCCGCGTTTTCCCAGTGTGAGGGAGGGCACCCTGTGAAGCTGAGGCAGAGATGTTCTCTACATGCATGGGGAGTCAGTGGCCACGTGGGGATTAGGCCCTCATGATTTTTTGGCCACTCCGGGTTGGCGATGCAGGAATTGGCCAGCTGTGACTATGGGCAGAGGCATGGGCCCTGGCTACAGGCAGCAGATGCCTGGTGTTTGGAAAGCTGACTCAATGGTGAGTTTTATGGCTGCAATCACCCGGAGGTGTTGGAGGCTGAAGGAAAGCTGGAAAGCCGGCCGTTAGTGATTTATGTTTATGACTTGCTAAAACCACAGCTGGCAAGAGCCCGCAGTGCTTGTCGCATGTCCCGGGGGAACTGGCAGCCAGGCTGAGAGGCCAGGGACTGACGCATAGACTGGCTTGGAGCCCCCCTTGCCAGCCAACAGGACGGTGGGTTTAATGGGGAAGGGGAAGTGGCGCTCCCGCAGCTGTGGTGGGATATGTCACTGGCAAGGCTGATGCTCACACACTTCTGCTTTTGCAGACAAACCCACCCAGGAGGATGAGCTCAGCCGGTGGCTGCGGCCCCTCTCCAGGGCTTCTCAGGAAAGGTGGTGACTCACTGTTCCCCTGGGGGGTGGAAAGGGCCTGTGAGGTCAGCCCCTGCCAGCTCCACACTACAGCTGGGATGAGACAGTTCCCTACAGGAAAGGCTTTAATGTTGCCAAGTGATTCCTGGATGGGGCTTCCACCCCTTCCTCTGGGAAATTGTTCCCCGTTGGACTGATCTTGCTGCTAGGGCATCTGCCCATGTGGTCGACTTCCTGCCCATCCCCCTCAGACTCCCCTGCGCAGCCCCTGCCAGGCGTCTGTACAAATGGGGGCTCTTTGTGAAGGGGCAATGTATCTCGTCCAGAGTTTGAACCCAGGGCCTGTGGAACCCCTGTAGCTGTGCCCTTCGCCCGATGAGCTTTGTGACAAAACCAAGGGGAGGGGAGCCAACGCCCATGCTTTGTCCACCAGGTGGCCGAGTCTGCCGGGGGCTCCTCTCGCCAGCTCCCATATGGAACGTGGGGATGAGGGTTTGTTCAGCCAGCTCCTCAGAGACGGCCACAGCAGCAATGAACCCCAGGCCAGCGGGAGGAAGCATCTCTCAGGAGCCCCAGAGAGGCAGGTAGCTCAGCTGCTAGGGGTGGGAGAATCCTATTTCTCAGAGGGACTATGCTGGCAGCCCTTGGCAGTGAACAGCTCTCAACAGCGACCCTTTCTGGCCAGCGGTTGGAGCAGAGCTCCAGATGGAGCTCAGATGGAGCACCCGTCCAGCTCTTCTTGGGTCAGAGATGGTCACCAAGACCCAGGCCCTGAGTTGGGGAGGCCTCTCTCCCCACTGTCTCTGAATGAACAGCTGCATGGGGGCTGCTCTGGGGAAGCTTGTTTGCAAAGCAGCAGCAAGCGCTCTAATGCACTCCGCTGTCTCAGTGGGTGAGTGCTGAATATTGCATCACCCATTAGCTTTTACAGCTGCTTGGCCAGGGGACTAGCCCCGTGCCAGGGAATGCTGTCAGCACTAATGCAGAGCCCGAGGGCTGAGCCCTGGAAAGCTGCTGCATCTCGGTCCCAGCAGGGCTCCGTGCACAGCTGGTATGTGCCAGTTCCCTCGGGCAGCAGCTCTGGGGAATGTGGCTTAAAAACTATCTCTCAGGAAGAAGCAGGGAAAAGCTGCCCCACTCCACACAGAACATACGGGTGATTTAGCCTGCCTTTGGAGCCAGTGCAGGTAAACAAATTGTTTTGTCAAGCGGCTGGTGAACAGCACGCCATACCACATGATCCAGCTCCCTGCAGCCAGCCTTGTACCTGCAGCCATGCAATGTAACCCAGCATGCCTTCTGCCCCCGGGAGGGCTAGTCCTCAACCCAGCGAATGTTTAACATACAAACGGTGCCGAGCCACAAAGCCCAAATGTGGAGTCGGAGCCAGATCTAAACCTTCCCAGAGTTTGAGAGGTTCCCATATGGTTTTCTAGGTCAGGTCGGTCATAGAGATGGACCCCCGGGTCCCACACGTTTGGATCTGGAGTCAGACTTCCCCATTCTTTGGGGATGTTTGGGTCCTGCCTCTCTGGCTGTAAACCCAGCAGGAGGGGAGATTTAAAGTACAGTCACATCTCAAACTAATCCCTAGCCCAGAAACTCCATGAGGATTTCAAATCTAAACTGAGATCCAGAGCTGGGCTTTGCAACTGGCCTCTCACTAAGGGGACATCTACACCTCAGTCCAGAGGCATGACCGCAGCACATGTAGACACACCAACACTAGCATTAATCTAGCTACTCAGGTACAACAGTAGTGAAACTGCAGCAATGTGGGCTTCAGCATGGCCTGTGCAAGCCATGGGACCCTGGGTAATAGGATCTGAAATCCGTGCTGGCAGCTTCATTATTACAGGTTCTCAAGCTTGCTAGATCAAAGCCAGCTCGGGTATATCTACACATGCTGCCACCCCACCTCTGAGCAAAGTCTCTGCTACAGGCTGTCCTCTCCACTTGGAGAGGTGGGAGCTGGATCCCACCTTGTGCCTTGGGACCATCCTTCGATTTTGGCAAGAAAAAGACGGTAGTAGAGAAGAAGGGTTCCTAAATGAAAGAGAGACATCACCCTGCAGGGTGCTGCGGATATAGACGGGCAGAGGGTGCCCAGCGCAATAGTGAGCAAGTGACAGACCAAGCTTCCTTCAGAGGAGGCTGGGTGGGGAAGATGGAGACCCCCAGTGGGGGTCAGGGAGAAGGAATCCGTGTGGGGACTGATGGAGGAAGATCAAGGAACATAGGTAGGGCCCTACCAAATTCACGACTGTGAAAAACATGTCGTGGACTGTGAAATCTGATCTCCCCTGTGAAATCCGGCACACAGCCGGCGGCTCCTACCCTGTGCAGGACTCTAGCTGCTACTACCGGCTGGGGAGGGAGAGGGGGCAAGACCTCTTCTTCCCCTGCAGGAGCTGCTCTCCGGGCAGGTCAGACCCACCTCTGGGATCTCCCCTGGCTGCAGGAAGCCCAGTGGTTCCAGCTGCCACCTCCCCACTTGTGCGAGAGACTGCCAGGAAAACCAGACATATGATAATGCCCCCCCTCCCCCGTCATACCCTGCGGCCCTCTCTTCTGCCCTGCTAATGGTGGTGGTGCTGGCTTTAGAGCTGGGCGCCGGCCAGCAGCCTTCCCCTCTGGCTGCCCAGCTCTGAAGGCAGCGCTCCTGCCAGCAGCAAGGCAGAAGAGAGGGTGGCAATCCCATGACCCCCCCTACAATGCACTTGTGACCCTTCCCCCCACAACCGCATTTTGGGTTGGGACCCCCACAGTTACAACACCCTGAAATTTCAGATGTAAACAGCTGAAAATGTGAAATTGACTAATTTTAAATCCCCCGGCCATGAAATTGACCAAAATGGACTGTGAATTTAGTAGAGCCCTAACCATAAGATGCACTGAGAATTAATCTTTGTGGGGCAAGTTTTGCTGAGGAAGGGGGGATGTTTAGTTCCAATCTACCCCTGCCCCCATTGTGCAGGGCAGAGGAGAGGCTGGGATTTGAGGGTCAGAGAAAGCAGGTGATAAGTGAGGCTCTAAGGAGGCTCCTGGGCTGGCTGGAGCAGCACACATGCTCCCACTGGCTTTAACTGGAGGAGAGCACTCAGTGCTGCTCAGGATCAGGCCCTCTGTAAATAACACTGGGCGGATGGAAAGGAGAAGTTCCCCCCTTCGCGGACTGGTCCCTGCTCAAGCACTGGCAGTTGCTGGAGCTACGTTTGCGAAGTGGCTGCCTGAGGGTGGCTTGCCCCCCAGCCCTGGCAGTCATGCGTGCCTGTCAGCTATTGATCCCGAGCAGCCCGCCAGTCTATCATCGTTAACAACTAGTGAGACGAGCTGCTTTAAATGGAATGGGCTCCGTAGCCCATTCCACCTCAGCGCTGTCCAACACAAAGCGGCAGGCCCTGGGCCAGAGGCAAGTCCGCTTTGCTGGTGGGAAACCCTCTAACGTTTGCTCATGAGACAAGAACCCTGCAGAGACACCCCCTCCCCCCCCAGCAGCGGCTCACCCACCGCCACGGGAGCTCAGAGTCCCTGGGAAGGTGGGATCCAGGTCTGGAGTGGATCTTCGCAGTTGGGTCCCAGGGATTGGCCAACTGCCCCCATGCCTAGGATGTGTTCGGATCGATGGATCATGCATGGTCCCCCCATTACTGCAGTATCTAAGCACCTCGCAATCTTTACAGCTGGGGAACCGAGGCATAGAGAGGCTCTGTGACTTGTCCAAGGTCATGCAGGAAGTATGTGGCACAGCCAGGACTTAAACCCAGGTCTCCCAAGAGCCGGATCTGAACTCGGACAGTTCCTCTGGTTTAAATGGGCACGTGGTGGTCTCTGACGAGCACAGTTCCCCATTTGCGCTTCTAGTTTAGCTTCCACCTTGGGTGGCTTTTGGTTTGGGCTTGGCTGGAAGGTCCTGCCATGGCGACCCTGGAGGCAGACACCCTCCTCTCCTTCACAGAGGCCCTGATCCAAAGCCCGTGGAAAGACTCCCAAGGATTTCAGAAGGCTTCAGATCAGGCCTATGATGAGAACAGGGACCTATGAAGCTCCTCCATGGAACATACCACCACCCTGCCCTGAGGGGAGGAGAGCCAGGGGTAGGACAGGAGCTCTCTGGCTCCTGCAGTTCTTGTTCTTTCTACTGAGATGCCCAGTGAAATAGTCTGTTGTGCCCATGGCTTTTGCAGGGTGAACACTTGCCCCATGAGCACCTGGCCTGAGTCCACAAAGAGCCAGCAGATGGTAACTACTTCTGGTGCCCACCGGCCTGTACTGGTGTCCCAATGGCAGCCTTTCCTCACAGCCGACTCCATGAGCCCTACTGCCCCGCTGCTCGCCCCTCCCGTTCTGTAAGGTGAGCCCCACAAGGTTTTGAAGCCCTGGGCCAGAGTCCTTTTACCCCTAGGTCATCCTTGGAAAAGTGTCTTGGTTTTCCTCTTGCATCCAACATGCATGTATAGGGAGCGGCATAAGGGCTCCTTTAAAGCACACTAAGCTGTGTGTTAAAGCCACGCCGACAGCACGGAGCTGGGCATCTCCCACACGGCCCGCGACACAGCTGGAGCCTCGCTGTTTATATCCATTGGGACACATCCACTAAACCCAAAGGCTCAGGCTGGGGACTTAGTGTGGGCATCATACAACCCGAGAAGGAGCATCGACGGCCCAGAGAGTACCCTGGTACATCCGCGCAGCTAGGCTCTGTGCAGCATCCTTGCCAGTGGGCCCTGCAGCCGGCCTGCGTGTGATGGCTTTTACAGCCGGGCAGACGGCTATTGAAAGGGTGGATGTGCTTGGTGCACAGGTCCCTCCTTGCGTGGGTTCCTTTAAGATCAGCCTAGCCGTGCATCTTACTGTGCACTGGAAAACGCAGAAGTGAAACCAGCTCACATCACTGAAAGGGAAGCTTCCTGTGGCTGCTGCTAGAAGGACCCAGTGCACTTGCCAGGGCAGCGCAGCGGGTAGGGGCATTTGAATCTCAAAACCATTGGCTCAGGGTTTGGTGCTGGGCACTAGATTCTGGTCTCCTGGACACCACTGTCAATCCAGGGTAACTTCCCCAATGCTAGAGTGGCTCTGAGTTTACATGGGTGTAACTAGAATTGGAACCTGGTCCTTCAAGCTACAGGGGGATCTTGGGCAGAGATGTGGTAGGGTGGGGCTCAGGGAGGTTAGTACTTGAGAAATGACGGCAATCCAGAGTGAATGAACCAAGGAGTTGTTTAGAGTGATTCCAGAGGGCGTTAGTTCCAGTCGTGCAAGGGGCTGCCCCCACTGGCTCCCCTGGGGAGTTCACAGGATTGGGGTCCTACATAAATGCTATGGGATGGAACCAGCTTAGGTGGAAGCCAGAAGAACATGTGCAACGAGCTGAGCTTGATAAGGCCATTGGAAGTCTCAGCCAGGGAGGGGTGGAAACCCCATTGCTTTGAGTAGTTTACAGTGGGACTGGACATAGCACTGGAGAATGTTCTGTAGCTGGCAGGACTGACCCTCCCTGGCCATGGTGCCCAACAGACCTTCCATCTCTCGTCTGATCCTGCAGTGGCATCCAGCTGTCTGCGGTGAAGCCCTCTGAGCTATCATGCTCTCCGTCACTGGCTGGGGGCCATTTGTGTTTCCTGGGTGTTTTGCAGCTCTGCGGCAGGGACAGGAAGTGAGTGCCCAGGGCCAGTCAACCCAGTGTCACAGCCCAAACAGTAAATAGCTTGAGCTGCAGGTCAGTGCCTCAGAGACTGATGCTCAGCAAGATCTGCCTTTAATGCAGCTTCTCTCAGCTCAAGGGGGAAAAGGGGTGAGTAACTAAAGAGGGATAGCTGCTGCTTCAGGCATTTCTCGTCTGAAAAGCCTGGGTGAAATTGCAATGGATCTAGAGCAGTGGTTCTCAAAGCTGGTCCGCTGCTTGTTCAGGAAAAGCCCCTGGCACGCCGGACCGGTTTGTTTACCTGCCGCGTCCGCAGGTTCAGCCGATCGCGGCTCCCACTGGCTGCGGTTCGCCACTCTAGGCCAATGGGGGCTGCGGGAAGCGGCGCGGGCCAAGGGACGTGCTGGCCGCCCTTCCCGCAGCCCCCATTGGCCTGGAGTGGCGAACCATGGCTAGTGGGAGCCGCGATCGGCCAAACCTGCAGACATGGCAGGTAAACAAACCGGTCCGGCACACCACGGGCTTTCCCTGAACAAGTGGCGTACTGTCCCAGCAGAATTTTCACTTCCCTTTTGCAAACCCTAGGAGAAGCTGCCTCCACATTCGGTGAACCATAGACACCAAAGACCCACTGGAACATCTAGCCCACCTCATCCAGTTCAGCACTGGCCCCAGTGAGCATTTTCTAGTGCATTGTCTGGTCTACACAGAAATGTCTCCACTGGTGGGACTTCCACCACCTCCCTGGGAGACTGTTCAAGTCTAACAGATCACACAGTTAGTTGTTTTCCCAGACAGTCACACTGATATCTTTCACCTGTCCGGCTGGGGGTAGCTTCTCCAGCTCCTAGTGCAAATGCTCTGCTCGGCCTTGCTAGTGGGGGGCAAGTTCTGCACCCATTGATGTTGGTGCCTGTTGACTTCAGCGGGAGTAGAATTAGGCCTTTCTGCTTTTGGCAATTCTCCCAGCTTCCACGATTACAACTGCGTCTGCAGGCGCCCGGGTCAGACCCCAGACCGCCCATGCTCTCACTCACACACCTACAGGCAACCCGCTGAGGCAACAAAGATTTCTCTCTCCTGATAACTGTGCCATTTGCGGTTACCTCCACCCACCACGCTCCGGTGTCTCACTTTTGAGATAAACCCTGAAAACAGAAAACTCCATGATGTGGTAGAGAGACCTTAGCAGCTCTTCCCACGGATACCAGGGGGCTGTATGGTCTTGCTGTGTGAGTCCTCCTTTGCTGTGTTTATTGTGACTCAGGAAGTGAGGTGTTTGGTGCACGCTGTGGAAAGGCTTGGGTTTGATCTCTTTTTTTTTTTTAATGCCTGCTAGGTCATTTACTATGCACCAACTAAAGCAGGAACTGCAAGGAGTGGGGTAAGGGGAACTGTTTTGTGCTGCTAGAAAGACACGGGAATGACCTCGCTAACCTGTGCAGTGATGCCATCGTAGATGAAAGGAGTATTTAGTAACTGCCAGGGTTTGGCCTTGAAAGAGCGATTGCTGGGCTGAGAATTCAACCATCCCCATCAATCTGGTGACCAGCAGCAGCAGCTGCTCCTTGCAAGGAGTAAACCCAAAAAAGCAAACATGCCTCTGAACAGGCATCATCCACCTGAATATGAGAACCCCCACACACAACGACATGTGCAAAACCACACATGCAGACACACCTGAACAAAGACCCAAACAGGCACACCAGGTACAAATGAATGAACATGTACACAAACATGCGAACACGTATCGACACGTATCGACATGCATGGGATCATCACTGGTGGGGCAGCAGTACTTAAAGGCCACAAGCAGGGCTCAGGGCCCAGGGTGCCAGGTGCTGTACATACATGAAGACATGCACCAGCACATTCCAAACACATACATGACCGCCCAGAAAACCCCTCATAGATACCGGAATAAAAATAACACAGGGCATGGCTTTTCTTACTGAGGGTGCGGCAAGTATTTAGGAAAATGCTAGAAGTTGTGTTGCTCAATCCATCCCAGACCTGTAACCACAACTGTTCCGTTGACCAGGACCGGCTCTAGGCACAAGCAAAGCGAGCACTTCTTGGGGCGGCACATTTCCCGGGGTGGCGTTCCAGCCCCCCTTTTTTTTCACAGCAGTTGCGCTCTCGGAGCTGCGCCACTTAGACGGGGCGAGGGTGCCACGCCCCTGGCCACAGCGGGAAGGGGAAGCTCCAGCCCCGGGATGCTGAGCTGCTACCTGGGGAGGAGAGGGCAAGTCCTGCAGAGGAGCTGGGGCTGGGCTGCCTTATGCCACCCCTTATATTGGGGCTTCTCTGTGCGGCCAGGCGGGGGAGGGGGTAAAGCCCCTGCAGGCGCTGGGAGAAGGTGACATCACTCCCTCCACTTCCAGCGCCGCCTGCGAGCCCCAGCCCCACCTGAGCTTGGGGCAGCAAAAGACCTAGAGCCGCCCCTGCTGTTGACGAGCCGGCCTGTATGTTTAGCTCAGGGCAGCAGTAAATACCGGATCATCAATTACCTGAAATACAGAGCGTTACAGCAGGGTTTTCAGCTACTTAGCAGGAAAGGTCCCTCTCTCTGGACACGGCTAATGTAAGAGCTTTCCCTGGTCCTTGGAGAAAAGTTTTCCAAAAATGTCTTTAATATTTATGATGGCAAAAGAGCTGCTTTCACTGCTACTGATTTAATAGCCCCTCAGTGTGCGCCTGCCTCAAGATTTATTTTCTGGTCCATTTAACCCTCTCTTGTGGGGCAAATGCCCCACCCCCACCTCCTCTGTCTAGGTTTCCTCTGGCTTATTGCATGTAGACTTTGTTGTGGATTTCACCCACTGTGTCTATTTATATAGCACTGTGGTACCTGAGCACACTGTTCATTATTGTTAGTAGTGGTGAATATTTATAGCCCATCATTGTGCTGGGTGTTGTGCAGACTCGGAAAAGAGATGATCCCGGCCCGTAAGGGCTCACCTTCTAAAGACACAGGCAGGCACAGAGTAGGTGCCGTGGGGGATAATGTATAAGCAAATGAACCTGGTGAAGAACGGGCACTGTACTAATGGGCTTTAGTCACCCCATACCCCCACAAGGCAGGAAAGTGCTATCCCCATTGTACAACTGGGGAACTGGTTAGTCAGTGGCAGTGCTGAGAACTGTACTCTGATCTCCTAGGTCCCAGGCTAATGCCCTATCCACTAGAGAATCCTCCCCTCTGCTGGCCCATGAGGCTAGCTCCGAGAGATCCACTGGTCCCAGAAGACGTTAGAAGAAAAGGAGTACTTGTGGCACCTTAGAGACTAACCAATTTATTTGAGCATGAGCTTTCGTGAGCTACAGCTCACTTCACCGGATGCATACCGTGGAAACTGCAGTAGACTTTATATACACACAGAGATCATGAAACAATACCTCCTCCCACCCCACTGTGCTGCTGGTAATAGCTTATCTAAAGTGATCATCAAGTTGGGCCATTTCCAGCCTTGCAACAAAGCCCGTTGCCAACTGTGCCCACATATCTATTCAGAGGACACCATCACAGGGCCTAATAACATCAGCCACACTATCAGAGGCTCGTTCACCTGTTCATCCACCAATGTGATATATGCCATCATGTGCCAGCAATGCCCCTCTGCCATTTACATTGGTCAAACTGGACAGTCTCTACGTAAAAGAATAAATGGACACAAATCAGATGTCAAGAATTATAACATTCATAAACC